CCTGTTGAGGTACATGTGCACTTCTGTGCACAGGTCCTGTCACTCCAGAAGGAATCACCCAGCTGCACTAATTCACCTTAAAAAGAGTAAAAGGGAATATCCCTTATTCCCAGTGTAAAATTTCCAGACATTTACATTCATAAAGCTTTAGGAAAAAACTTTCACACCTTAACTTTTTTCATATTGTGTCAAATAACAACAGTAATTCCCTCAAGGCACTTTATATGTGTAAAGTTCCCAAAATAACAGAGAGAAAATCCCAACTGTTATACAGCCCCTACCAGCATTAAGATAAGATGGGTCTTGATTATACATGAGCAGAAGGATTTTAAGTTTGATTCTGGATTTAACAGGGAGAAATATGTTCTGTCTTTTTAGTCCCTGTCCGTACTGCAGCATTTTGGATCAACTTAAAGCTTTTCAGTGAGTTTTGGGGACAACCTGATAATAACAAATCACAGTAGTGCAGCCTTCAAGTAATAAACGCATGAACTAATTTTTTTAGCATCACTCTGAAATAGGATAATTCTAATTTTAGAGATACTGCATAAATGCAAAAAAAGCTATCCTGAATATGTGTTAAATATAAGCAGTGAAGGACATAACCTGGTCAAAAACAACTTCAAAATTTCTGTTAGTGTTAAGGCCAAGGTAACCCCATCCAGAGTATGCATCTGGTTAGACATCATGTTTGTAAGATTTTCATGGCTGAGTGCAATCAACTTAGTTTGATCTGAATTTAGAAGCAGGAAGTTGAAGGTTACCCATGTCTTTATGTCTTTAAGACGTTCCCACAGTTTCGTCGTTTGGCCTCATTAACAGAGCTGGAGATCCTCTGCATAGCAGTTAAAATATACGCAATGCCTTTGAAAGATACTGCCTAGTAGTATAATGTACACAGAACTGGTCCTAGCACAGAATAACCTTAGTGTGAAGACAACTCCCGGTTTACATGAGCCAATTGGAGTCTGTCAGAGGCCTTCTGCAACTTTCACTAAAGCTGTTTCCGTACTGTGATGAGCTGTAAATCCTCAATGAAATATATGACAATGCACTGTGATTAAGCAGACTAAACACATGCAATAACAATAATATGCGTAAAATGGGGATGGGCAATAAAAGTGTAAATTATTATTCTGTGAAATAATTATTCAAAAACAGTTCCAGGAGCAGTGGTGTGTGATG